CCTTTGAGCTCTTGCCTTATATCTCTCTCTCTTTATATCTCCAAGCCCCAAAGCCCTCAAGTTCTTACACCCTTCTCTACACCACCACCTAGCACCATACCTCCAACCTCCATTGCAGCCATTTGAAGTTGTTTTCCAGAGCCTAGGAGTGCTGCAACTCAAGCCAAAGAGCTGCCAAAGACAAGTCTTCAAGGGTGAGCTTCCATTTTCCCTTTTCTACCCTTTTCTTGATCTATTTGTAAGTCATATTTGCTTGCTGTTTTGGGCTCCGACCTTAACTGGAACTAGGCTTATTTTGAGCTATTTTTCATGTTTTTTTAAGGGTATTTACCTGTTTGAGGTCTCCTTGTTGCACTTGCTTCATTATCCCTCTTGTATGCCATTTTCTTGTGTAGTATTTTTGGCCTACGTGTAGACTGTTTTGAGGCATGTCATAAACTGTAAAGTTTTTTATTTTGAGCCCTTCTTCAACTTTGTTGAAGGACTCATTTCTTTTTGAGGCTTCTATCTTCCACTTGCCTTTATATCTCTATTTTGGCCATATTTTTGCATGATTTGTTAGCCTCTTTTGCTTCTGTTTCTGGGCTCTGGTCTGAACTAAAAATGGCCTTATTTTTACCCCATCTTCATATTTCATTAAGGGTCTTTCACTGTTTAAGGCACCCTTTATACACTTTGTGTTATATCTCCCTTTTTGGCCTTATTTTGTGTAGTATCTTAGGCTTGTATGCATACTGTTTTGGGTCTGTCCATCAACTGTAAAGTGCTATATTTTGGGCCCCTCTTCAACATTGTTGAAGGGCCCCTTTGTGTTTAAGGCCAGAAACCACCACTTGCTTCTTTGGCCATCTTTTGGCCCATTTCTTGCATGAGAGTTTAGCCATACCTGTGCTGGTTTTTGTGATTTTCCATAAACTGTAAAAGATCATGTTTTGGGCCCCTCTTCAACTTTGTTGAAGGGCCCTAATCTGTTTGGGGTCAGAAGCTGTGAGTTGCTTCATTATCTCACATTTAGGGCCATTTTTGCATGCTAGTTTTTCCCTATTTGTGTTTGCTGTTTGGCCTTACTTAGAACTGTAAATATGCTTATTTTGGGGCTTCCTTGAATCTGTCTTCACATGTCATGAGCAAATAATGCATGCTTGATGTAGCTACAAGTCATTTCATGTGCTTAATCTTGCATCTCGGGACCATTTCATGCATCGGGTATCATATTCCTATGATTCGGGGCTGTTTTGGGTCATGTTTTGCTGCTGAAATTTGCATGTTTGCGTATCATATTCCATGCCTTGCCATGTCTTGTTAGAGTGGCATTTCGTGCCTTAGGTTTGGTCCTCGGTTTGCGTGCATGTGTGCACGCATCTCGAGTGTCTCATTTTCATCTAATGGCTTCTTATGTGAGTGTGGCTGAGGTCCACTTATGTTAGTGTAAGTCCATTCATGCATTGTGTATGCCGTTTCATTTCATAGCATTGCGTATGCTAGGTTGTATGTTAGCGCATTGTGTATGCCATGTTACCTCGTGCATCGTGTATGCCATTTCATAGCATTGTTGCATGTTAGGTTGTATCTTAGTTGCATTTCATTCATGTCATGCATATTGCATCGTGCTTGGGATAGGAGTTAGCCCGAGCACGGAAGCGAGGTACGTTCCGTACTCCGAGTGACGGAACGTGTCTTAATTCCCCAGTCACCGACACTCTGGATTATCCATGATGGAGTTTAGGTTTAGTTGAGTTTTCATATGCATTCATTCTACATTGAGTAATGCAAATCGATTCCTCGGCCATCATGCATCGATATGCGTGATTGGTGGCACGAGGATCGAGGCATGCATACATTTGTGAAAATACATTGCTATGCCCCTCTCCTGCTTTCTGTTGCAGCAAATCAAGGATCAGCAGTCTTCTGGGGCTTGGTGCGCTTTCCAAGAATAATTGTAAAATAGAGGCTAATTGGGGCATCCCAGTGGATTTTCGCGCAAGATAGCCCAAACATACATCATTCATCAGAGTCGAGGCAGTCTCTGGCTTGCATGCCATGTTTATAGCTTTCTTAGATTAATTTGTAAATTAATTAGGATTTTTGTATTTATTCGAGACTGTATTATTTATTCATTCGGGACTGTACTATTTATTCGGACCCTCTGCGCGAGGGCAATGTTGTAATAAGTGTGTATGTGTGTGTGATGTATGTCTTCCAACCCCACGTCTTTCTACCTTTTATTTACCCGCTTATGATGGTTAGATTAGGGCATGTTTCAATTAGCATACAGTATGATAGCATGTTTGCATTCATTCATCTGTCTTGCATGCACCGGGCTCGGCGCATCATACTAACTGCGTTTGTACTTCAATTTCAATATTGAATACATGTTAGCTGTAGCATTTCATATGCCATGTTTAAAATAGCCGAGCCTGCTATAGTTGCATTTTTGCATGTGTTGCATTAGGCATTTCTGTATAATTAGGATCATGCATGGATTTCTAATTAGCTTCTGTTTTGGCTTAGAGTACTCGGTGAGTTTTATGCTTTGGCATCCTTGCATGCGTGTGAGTGCTACCATGAATAGCGTGCTTACCATGAGGCTATTTGCTTATGTGATATAACTGTCTGAATGCCTGTGGGTAAAGGTTGGGTTATCTGGATTGGAACAATTCATCAAATGTGTGTTCTAAGCGCACTAGATAGTGACAAAATCATGTTTTTCTAAGCCCACCTAAGGGTGGCAAATCCACGTCTTAGCCTACTTGAGAGTAGCACCATCAAACCATTTTCAAACAAACAAACATGAAATGTTTTGTTCCAAATCAGGCGACCCAGTCTATACATGTATGCTGTGCGCATCACATAGTAATCTAGGCTAATAACTGGAATAAGAACGCATAATGTTTTCAAAAATAGATATCATGGTTAGTAGAGGCCGATCTTTGATCGGGCGAGCGGGGGTGCTCACGAAGTGACCTTCCCCAATCGTACCCAAGTTCCCGAGCCGAGGCAACTTTGGTGATGACGAACACGTGGCCTTAGGCAAACGAGTCAGGGTTTCCTAAATTTCCCAAAATAAAATATTTAGGTGGCGACTCTGTATCTGGCAAAGCAGTCCATGTTTGGCACTTCTTTCAAAAATCTGTTTTCTCAAAACGATTTGCCGGATTTGGACTCTTTGGTTCAAACTTAGAACCGTGACAATTTTAGAGTCCTGAACTGTAGTGAGCCCAATATCGAACGGAACATGGGGGACTCATTCCTCTCTCCCAGGGCGTTCGGGGACGTCTACAGTATCACATAGTAAATCTAGGCTAATAAGACTTGTATGTAAATGCCCAAAAAAAAATTATAATTTTTTGTAAGAAATTTGACTTTGCATCAGATTTCAACTTTGCATTAAGTTCAAATTTGAAAGAAATTTGACTTTGAATTATACAAATTACGAATTTAAAAAAATGGCAACTTTGTACCAAATTTGACTTTTAATTCTTAAATTTACAAGTTAAAGTAAATTACAAATGCCTAAGAAACTTGACTTAAAAATATAAAAATTATGAATTACAAACATTTTCAAATTTTTAAGAAACCTGACTTTCATTCTAAAATTTACTAATTTACATGCAATTCATAATTTTGTACAAAATATGACTTATTTATAAAAATTATGAATTCAAATAAATAAAAAATTTGAAAGAACCTTAACTTGTACTTCCAAAAATTACGAATTAAAAACAAAAATCAAATTACAAGTACTTTTGACGTTACTTATAGAAACAACAAATTATGACGTGGCAGTGGATATAACTGAGGACACTTCTAACGGCTAGAATTTATTATTATATAAATATTTGTTTGTAAGAAATTTAAAATCTACATACTACAATTAAAAATAAATTTACAAATTTGTAAGTAATTGGTATATTAACTAGTGTACCAACATACCTTATAACATTATTACTGATCTCACTCATTAGGCAAATTACAAATATTCAAAACCTCTAAAACTATTATTAATCATCTGTTACTACACTAATTGATATATTAATTAGTACATATAGCATTATTTATTTGTAAAATAATTTACTTGTAATACTAAAATAAAAATTTTAAAAGATGATAAATTTCTTACAAATTTGACTTTTAATTCTAAAAACTACGAATTAAAATAAATTACAAATTTGGGCAACATTTGAATTTTAATTATAAAATTTAGGAACTAGAAAAAATTGCAAAATTGTTACAAATTTGAATTGTCCTTACACAAATTACAAATTAAAATAAAATTATTAGTCAAATTGCCTAGAACTTTGACTTTTAATTATAGAAATTATGAATTAAAATTAATGACAAATTTGTAAGAAATTTTACTGTTAATGTTTAAAAATTACAAATTAAAATTAATGACAAATTTGTAAGAAAGTTTTTAACGTTTAAAAATTACGAATTAAAAAAATTAGCAACTTTGTCAGAAATTTGACTGTTAATATTTGAAAATTACGAATTCAAATAAATTAGAAGTAGCCTACAAAAACCAACTTTTCAGTATAGAAATTACGAACTATAAAAAAAAAAGATTAATTATCAAAAAGTCCTATCTACATATTTGGTGGTAGCTTAGGTCCTGTCAAAAAAATTTTGAACTATTAAATCCCATTTATAGGTAAAAAGACGTTTTGCCTTTTAATCCCAAAATTGAGAATGTTCTAAATTTATAATTATCAAAACTAAGAAATTTCTCAATTTTTTTCTAGTATGAACTAAGAATATTATCAAAACTAAGAAATTTATAATTTTCAATTTTGAGAAATTTCTCAATTTTTTTCATGATTAAAATTAGAATTCAGAAGAACAATGTAGTCAAGTACATAGGGTTACAATTTCAGATCTGGTGAACTTTTTGACTTGGAAGGCTGCAATTTGGGATTCGATTCGAGACCCATCCTTAGCAACCACTACATTAGGCTTCAGATTCCCTGTCTGAAGCAATCTCCTCTTTCCATTGCTGACCCATGATGGAAACCCATCTTCAGATAGCAACCTCTGACACCAATCGAATCACTGTTGCCTTCAACAATGGCATTCTCTACATTTGCCAACCCAAGCTCATCACTTCCACCTCTGAACACCAATCTCAAACCACTCCCACTCCTCTACCTCTGCTACAACCTCAAAAGAGCAACGTGAAAACTCCGAAGAAGTCAATGGAGTCACTACCGTCACAGCCTCAGAAGAGCGATATTCGAGGCAACGATGAGTCAAAGCAGATGGATGCGAGAAATGAGATTTCAGAGAGGAAAAAGGTAGTGGTGAAGGAGAAAGGCGCTGATGTGGTGGCCAGAGATGGAAAGAGAAGAAGTGATGAACGTGTAAATGGAGATTCTGAAGGACCCCAACTTATCGAAGGAGTTCTGGAGATTAAAAATTAATGGGACTTGAAGGAATAAATAATTTTATTTAGGACTTAGTGGATTATAAGTTCACAAAATGGGACTTGTATGTAAATGCTTCAAAAAAAATTGTAATTTTTTGTAAGAAATTTGACTTTGCATCAGATTTCAACTTTGCATTAAGTTCAAATTTGAAAGAAATTTGACTTTGAATTATACAAATTACGAATTTAAAAAAATGGCAACTTTGTACCAAATTTGACTTTTAATTCTTAAATTTACAAGTTAAAGTAAATTACAAATGCCTAAGAAACTTGACTTAAAAATATAAAAATTATGAATTACAAACATTTTCAAATTTTTAAGAAACCTGACTTTCATTCTAAAATTTACTAATTTACATGCAATTCATAATTTTGTACAAAATATGACTTATTTATAAAAATTATGAATTCAAATAAATAAAAAATTTGAAAGAACCTTAACTTGTACTTCCAAAAATTACGAATTAAAAACAAAAATCAAATTACAAGTACTTTTGACGTTACTTATAGAAACAACAAATTAATATAAAAGCATAGAACAATATCGTTTCCTATAATTTAAGTCCCTAGCGATTTCTTTCAGTTTTTGCAATGAATTTGAATCCATAATCAAAAGTCATAATATGTGTGTCAAATTATGACATCGCACAACAAATTTCGAATAAAAAACAATGATTTCACAATAGCTGCGTATATAAAACAAATGAATTAATTACACTAATAGTCCCTATAGTTTGGCACTTATGTCACTTTGGTTCTTAACTTTTTAATTGTGATATATTTAACCCTAAATTTTGAATCTTGTTCCAAATAAGAACAATTGAAAATATAACTAGATTTTTCAAGAGTAAAATCGTCAATTTGATAAAATATAGACTAATTTGACAAAAATAAATGTCAAAAAAATATTTTTAATTTTTTAAAAATTATTTTTATCCACCAATGATAAAATTATGTAAAATTAATAAAAATTACATGACTAATTTTTTAAAATTAATTTTACATGATCATCATTCAAACACATAACAAAAATTAATTCGGTAAAAAAAATAAATAAATGTCTAAAAAATTTATCAATTTTACATAATTTTATTTTTAGTGGGTAGAAATAATTTTAAAAATTTAAAAATATTTGTTTGACATTTATTTTTGTCAAATTAATTTATATTTTATCAAATTGACAATTTTACCCTTGAAAAATCTAATGATATCTTCAATTGTCCTTATTTAGTACAAAATTCAAAATTCAGGGTCAAATGTGTCACAATTGAAAAGTCAGGGGCTAAAGTAACACAAGCCCCAAACTATGAGGGCTATTTGTGTAATTTGCCTTAAAACAAATAGTCGTGGATACGATCGCGAACTCTTCCCATATCCACATCCATATCCCCAGCCATGAGGCCATCGTCGAGATTTTCTCCTGTATCTTTAGTGGCGGACATGTCATCTAGAACTGGTGATCATCTGACATGTTTGTTGTAGGCGTTAGCAGCTATCTTGTGTCTACGGATGAAATTGTGTAATGCCATTGATACACCAACCAATGACACCTTCACCGACGCAAAATCATAACCCGACATGTTTTTCATTAAATTGTAAGTATTTATTTTTTAAAAATGAACACTTACTAATGTATACAGATTTATTAATGATGGAACATGGGATGGTCCAGGGTCCTTTAAAACTTGTTGCCAGCAAGGTGTTGCTGTTGCATAGTACAATTCAATTCATACTAGTAACAATTAAAGAAAAGAAAATATGTGGAAAAAAAATTTTTGAGTTATACAAATATGTACCTTGTAACAGAATTCATTGATATCATACCATTTTTTATTTCAACAATAATTTGTTCATGTTGGAGTCTGAAAGTCTCTTATATGCAATTTAGCTGGAAGCTCGAAATATGTTCATTCAAGGTTATGCAATAATTTCTAGTACAATTGTTACATAAAAAAAAATCACAATGGCAAAATAATTGCAATTTTGACATTCAAAAACCACCAATGAAGCCAACGCAGCAGACAATAAACAAAAAAAATTTAGGCTCCGTTTGGTAAACCTCTCAAATTATAGTTTCACCCATTGATTTGAGTGTGGTGTTTGTTTTGAACTTTCAAATCATAATTATACACCCATTTCTCAAAACTCAATTCAAAAATAATCATTACTTTTCAAAACTCATAACCAAACACATAATTCAAAACTCTTTTCAAAACTCAATTCAAATCAATATTTTAAATACTCATTTTATAAGTAAACATTAGTTCTGTATACGGATTTAGACTCTCTCCACATTAGTTCTGCAAACTCTCACAATTAACAAACTCTCCCCACATTAGTTCTATAAACATTAGTTTTGTATACAGATTTTTTTATGACTATATTTAATAATTTTTAAAAATATTAACAAATTTATTAGTGTATCTTAATATAATTAAAACTATTGGAAATGGTTATAAAATTCTAGACAAAATCAAATTTTTTTCTTAAGTTTGATCTATTTTTTAGGTGAGCCCCGTGCGTCGATTTTCACGGGTCAAAGTGGTAACGCGTTCTATGTCACGTTGTGATTCACGTGATATATTTGGTTGCTCAAAACCATTACCGAGTGAATGAAAAATTGAAGCCAAAGTGTGCTCTATGGAAATGGATTTTGGTGAAAATTCCTTAAGGTTGTAAAATGGCTTGTCCCATATTAATTTGGTGGGAAGTTTTGAATGGGTTTATAAGGCTTGGGTTTGGTACTTGGGGTGTGCCCCAAGGGGTACCGAAGTGTTTTAGAAGGAGAGATTATGGGCAAAATGGGCTAGACCCATTGGACCCAAAAATCACTACACGCATGCCGCCGTTCGGTCGGGTGGGCTGGGTTGGCTTTTTCAACCCAATATTAATATTTTTGGGCCAAAAACATTTGAATTTAATTTTATTTTTGGTAAAATAAAATCCAGAATTCAAAATTAAAATTAAAATGGTTTGGTTTTACTGTACATCCAAACAGGGCCCTTCCCCTTTTTAAACCGGAATTAAACTGGTCCGGATTTACTGTACACCCAAACAGGGCCCTTCCCAATTTTGTTATCTGTTTCAATTGTAATCCAACATATTCAAATCTGTTTGAATTCAAAACCAACAGGTTTCATACCTGTTCAATTCAAAACCTACAGTCACTATTACATCTATAAATAGACTAGCCTCCCATTTGAATTGATACGCTAATTTTTCGTCCTTCATAATTCTGGAAACATCCTCTTCATTTTGCTGCATTATTTTCCTGTCAGAGAAAGTATAAACACTTAGTGTGTTCGTTAGGCAAACAATTTATAGTGCTGCTATTGTTTGTAGTAGATCATTTTATCCTAGGAGATAGACGTCCAAATTCTAAAAGTACCATGGAGAGGACGAATCTGTCTTAAGGACACAGTGTCAAACACTGGACTTGATCTGATAATTATTTAAAGAAATTAATCAAGTAAGTTGTTTAATTTATTATTCTGTTTTATTTATTTAAATCAGATTTTAATTTTAATTTTATTTTTGTAACAAAATAAAATCTGTTTTTATCTTTTTTTTTTATTTCAAGTTTGATTTTTGTAATCAAACAAATTCTCTCCTTTTCTTTATTTCTTAATATTCTAGTTGTTGTTTTGTACACAATAGAATTTAATTATTTTAGATACAGTGAAGATTGTCCAACAAAAACAATGTCAAAATATTTTTGTTAATATTTGTTAATTAAGAACAGATTGTGAAAAAAAAAGGTGGGAAAAAACTTCAACAACAAATTAATTTAAACACAAATTTATATTAATTTTAATATTTTTTTGAAACTGTTAATTTATATTGTGTACTGATAAGAACATTATTAAATTGTAAGAATCATTCATGTTTGAAGAACAGATTTTGAAGAGGAAAAAAAAAAAACAATTTATAACTGCACAACAGATTTTGAAACCAAAAATATATATATATTTTTTTTTTAAAAAAAAAAAACATGACTATAGCATCCATGTTTGAGGGATAACAGCAGATTGTTTGGGTTGTTTTGCCCAAGAAGTGGGAAAAAAGTTGAACAACTAATTAATTTAACAAAAATTGTGTATTAAATTTAATATTTTTGGAAAGTGTTAATTTATATTTTGTACTCATAAGAAAATTATTAAATTGTAAGAAACATCCATGTTTGAAGAACAAATTTTCAAGAACAGATTTTGAAAAAATATATATATAAAAAACAATAGCAGAAGCAGAATGTGTTTGAGGGATAACAATAGATTCTCTGGGTTATTTTGCCCAAATTTTGAGTCTCATAACAACTGAAACAGCAAATTTTGAACTACAAAATTACAAAAAAAATAAAATAAGGAAAAAAGTTTATATGTCTAGATTGGCAATTCTAAAATGAAATACCATCAATGGAGTCTAAAATATAGTGCGATCTGAAATAGTGGAATGAAAAACCAGCAACAGCGAGTTGAAAAAAGCAAGGAGAAGAACAAAAATCGAGTCAGTTCATTTACCTATCGCAAGTCTTCGACGGTCGGCAACAAAGAGAATCGGCTGCGTGGTCTGCCTGAGAGAGATTTGTCGGAGAGAGATTCGTTGAACTTCTTCAACCAATTTTCAGCTGGTTGCAGAGAGATGAGAGAGTTGTTTCTCAATCATGTTGTTAGAGCATCTCCAACCATTATTGCTATAATGTTATTATTATTATTATAATTTGACAATGAATAGTGTTATTTTGTCAAATTATAGCAATAATGTTCCAATGATCATTTGCTATTTTGGCAAGTCTCAATTAATTTTCCCTCCAAGTCTGTAGGTATTGTTTGGATATAGGTTTTTTTGTGATTTTATTTTTATTTATTTATTGTCTTTTGTGACTTTTTTTATCTGTTTGTTAAAAAAATTATATATTTATATTATTCCCAACTAGACAAGTATAAAAAAATTTAAAAAAATGAAAAAAGAAAAAAAAAATTGTTTGATTAATTCACC